GATAATAATCTTCCTAGACTGATCTGGAGTTGCTGCAGCTGAAAACTATCAGCTAGCATGATAATAGAGGAAGCAATACTGTTGCTGACTGATGATGGCAAAAGGGTGATAAGGTGTGTATTATTTTGCCTGTTTGTTAGCAGAATATTTCATGAACCACTGGACGGATTTCATAAGTTTCCAGAAATTAATCTCTGAATGTTGTATATCTACAACTAAATACCTCACTGAGTTAATCTGTAACTCAGACACTTTTTACAGATATTAGCTACAATTTGATGTGGTTATAGATGAGAGCTACCCTTGACAGATACTGTATTTTGAGTATAAAACACTGCGCTTGTTTTTTTTTGTTTTTTTTTTWATGGGCATCAAGCTTGTCTGACATTTTGGGATTGCGTTCTGTGCGTAAACATACCTTGTTAATGAAAGCTCGAAGCGCAGCGAAGACGTGTTTGATCGCCGCCTCCGACTGGCCGACTTTAAGGAAGGTGAGGTAGACGTCAAACACCTTCCTCATCAGGGGGTTGTGACCATCACTGTCCATAAGCTGGTTCTTAAAGAGGCACACAGTGCAGAACCATCCAGAGCACAAGTGAACTGACCTTTCTTACTCCTCAAACACATTTTACACAGTAAGCTCATTGATGTTTAAAAGAATTTTGAGATGTAAATGTGTGTTTGTGTGTGTGTGTGTTTGTTCTGACCTTAAACCACTGGGTGAACAGAGACAGGACATCCAGGACACTCAGACACACCTCAGTGGAAATGTTGCCCTCCAGCAAAGCCTGATGGTGGATTTCTGCCTCAGAAGGCCCCATACCTTTAACACAACAAAKACAGCACAGAAAACCATGCAGCTGAAACTTACCAGGTCTGTTTTGTTACATTTGAGCAACAACGTGCATCTTGTTTGATCGGGAGTTTAAATGTACATTTCATTAGCTAAATAGTTGTGTTTTAGATTTGTACCCCAGCAATCACTATGAACAATCATCAATTGTTGGACAATGCTGAGGAGAATCCCTCCACATTGCACAAGATATGGAAAATATATGGATATTTCTAAGTGTCTACAAAGATGATCAACAATCATCTTACAGTTCATTTGTTTGGTGGGTGCATTAGTGTCAAACATCTGGAGTGGTACTATTAATGCAGAAAAGTATATATAGGTTTTAGAACAACCTATGCTCCCATTCAGACAAGGTTTTCCCTCCAACATTTCCCTCCAAAAACTCCAGCAGCTGGTCTCCTCAGTCCCCTGACATTTACACACTGTTGTTAAATGAAGAGGGGATGCTTCAACCAGGACCCTCTCAATTTTTTTTAAATGTGTTGCTGTGGTAAAATTAAACATTATTTTCTGTTTTAAACATTGGCTTTGTTTTTTAGCTAAATAAATTTTTAACAAAAAGTCTGGCAACAACTAAATCATTTTAGCAGCAGACCGAGAAACCCGCAAAACCCATAGTCTGATTGTTGACAGAAGCTCAAACACACACCCACACTGTAGACCTCAGATTTCTTCATCTTTGAGGTGAAGAGTTTTAGTGAGGGTTTCAAAGCAATTGTAACAAACAGGATCTATAACACAAAAAGCAATGTGTGCCTGAGGGCTGGCATGAACATGTACATCTGTTTGTTTGAGACGGGTCTGAGAACCTCTGACCACAAAAGTCCAGTCAGAAAGTAGCTGCAACTACATGGGGATTGGTACCTTTGACATTTGAATCGATTCAGTTCCAATATCCGGTACCTCAGAATCGGTACTGGTACTTAACAATACCAATTTTTGGTACTTTATGTGTGTTTTTTTTAATAATAAATGTTTTTTATTTAACATATTTCTCAATATATAAAATTAACAAATATCAAGACAACATCCAACTCTTTGTATTGTAACATCAGTTGTGTAACTTATTTCTTTAAAGTGAAAACTCTTGAAAACAACAAGAATGTTTTGTCTTATTGCACAAATTAAAATCCAGCTCCACGTGTTTCTATTGATGTCATTTCCCCATTAGAAAACTTGTGTGATGGAGGTCCATGGAAGGCAAATAAGCAAAAGAGAATGGAGTTAAAATAAATAAAAGGTATTCAAGCTACRTTTTGAGCATCCAAAACACGTCCAACAYTTCAAGTTAGCTGCTTGTGCTCTTTAGGTCAGACGTGTTCAGACTGTCAGGAAGCACCTCTGTTGTTTTCCTCTGCCGGTCTCTGTTTAATGGTGGATGAAATAAAGAAAATGGCTGTACTTTATTTACTTTGAGCAAGCCAACGTTGTGCTCACAAGATAATTAATCCACCAAATAATTCAGAGGCGATCTTTTCGGTGAGTTTTACTCCAGGAGCTGCGAGGCTTTCAAGCTACGTTCAGACTGAACTCTGTTTACTGAACCAGTGGCTGCTGACATCATTACGCTCTTGTGCGATGCTGCGTTCAGGACAAGCATGGAAAACTCACCACTGTTACGTCAATACGGTCGCAATGATGCGTTTAGGTACCAAAACATGGTACCGTTTGATGTTACGTGAATAGGTTCTCGGTAGTACCGACAGAATTCGGTCGGTACTTAAAAAAGTATCGAATTAGGTACCCATCCCTACAACTACGTGAGAATACTTAGTCGTTGTGTCCTTGGGCAAGACACTTCACCCACCTTGCCTACTGATGGTGGTCAGAGGGTCCGGTGGCGCCGATGTATGGCAGCCCCACCTCTGTCAGTGTGCCCCAGGGCAGCTGTGGCTACAGTGTAGTTTGCCATCATCAGTGTGTGAATGTGAGTGTGAATGGGTGAATGTCTGTTAGTGTAAAGCGCTTTGGGGTCCGGAGGGACTTGAAAAGCGCTTTATAAGTTCAGTACCATTTACCATTCAGTACCATTTACCATTTACCAATACCAATCACCCAAAAGTCTAACTGTATGCAATTAAAGCTAGCCACATTCACCTGACACCTGCTTTTCAGTTGGAGCCACGTCCCCAAATATGGGGTCTGTTGTAAAACTGTTGGCTGGTGCAGTGTAGGTCAGACACATCAACGTTCCTACCAAATTTCAAATTGATCAATGCAGCCGTTTCCATGCTATGGTCGACCAAAGATCTTGAAAAATAAACAAACATGCGGGGGTCATACTAAGGATAATACATGTTTGGACCTCATCCGTCTGAATGGATTTAAATAAACTCTCCAAGGATTCATTAGATGTACATCTACAACTGATTATGTTTAGGGGTCACCCTAATTCAAGATGGCTACCACAGGAAAGAACTCTATTGTTCCCATCAGAGGATGATTTTTAGTTTAAAACTCTGGCAGGTGATATGCATTCTTTCGAGGAATGCTAGGCATATCATATTTTATGTTAGTGAGTCATTAGCTGCTTAAAATATTGCAGAATAACTAAACTTATTCTAACCACAAATCAAACTGCCAACAGTTATGTATTGGTCCCTGTCCCAGACACAGTTAGGAGAGTAAATGTAAGTGATGAAGGTTGTTTTGCATGTGAAACTGAAGGTGGAGTTACCCATGTTTAGGGTGAGGGAGGTTTCCATGGTGCTGAGCTGGTGCATCTTGGTCTGGATGAGGCTGCCGCGGTGCGGGCGCATGGCTGGCATGGTCTGGGACTTTCTGTCTGAAGAGAAGAGCTTCAAAAAGCCCACCTCCTGGCTCCTGGAGCGGTGACACATCAACTGAGTCATTTTAACTGGCAGTTTATAAATGAGGAGATGTTGAAACATTCTCATTAATACAGCACCTACAAAACAAMCTTTCTTTCACCTTTCATTTTTCACTTTGCAACCACAAACCTCAATTTTTTTTATTTTATTTTTTTGAAAGGGTGTGGGGGGGAGTAGAGCAACACAAAGAGTGTAGAACAGTGATCAGACAGGATTATGAAGATAAAAGAACACACCAGGTTATAAAACAATCTAGGATCTAACAATCTAGACAATCTAGTCTAGGTGGTCTGGGTCCTGGGTAGACTGCGAAGAATAGAGAGAAGTGGCTGAGGATCCATTATTGTTGACCCATCACTCAAATCGGGGCAAAAGGACACTTTAGTTGGCAGCATCGAAGGAGTCTTTGGATTTGGACAACCTCCGGCATGACGCTATCACAAATTCAGCCTTCGGAAGATGTAGCCCCTGAATTTAGCCTAAATATAAATCAGGGTTCCCACATCTTGGTCAACATCAAATTCAAGGACCTTCCAAGGACTTTCCAGTACCAATTTCCTCAAATTCACGAACCACATGCGATGGCAATGACCTACTGCTACCAGAGAATGTTACCAATAAACAGGTTTAATATTTAAATTCAATGAAATACTGAATATCATAAAAGTTAAGTCAGAACCAATGAAATAAAGTGGATTAAATTTATGCCCTACATTCATATCCACAACACATGGACATGTAATTATGTCCTGGGAGGTTGGGCAGCTCAGTTTGGGAGGAGGGGATGTGAACATGTTCAGACCCTCAGTGAGGACAGGAGGAGCTGTGGTGCTTCACCTGGGCTCAGAAAGACAGACCTGCCCTTCTCTGCTCTGATTGGATAAAACTATGACTATGGCTCATGTTATTTGTTAAAAGCCACRTCAGTTTACCTTAATCCTGAGTTATCCACAACAACAAATGTAAGTTTTGGTTTCTTTATTTTATTTTATAATTATTAATATTTTATTTTTTTACAGATGATGAAAATCAGTTGTGTAAATAGAGAACTTCAATACCCCCCAAATTAAAGGACTTTCAAGGACAAGTGTAATTTTTGGCTGTTTTCACAAACTTTCCAGGGCCTTGAAATCTTTTTTTTTTTTCAAATTCACAAACTTTCAAGGATTTCAAGGACCCATGGGAACCCTGATAAATGAAACCCTTTGGCCTAAACTCAACATGTGGCAGAAAACTAACAATGCACATCACTCATATAACACTGTTATCATGATGATGCGAGGCTGAAACAATAAAGTACTTTAACATATTCACACAAACATTCTGTGAAGCAGCTGCTGTATATGTGGACAGTCAACAYGTGGGCAGGGACTGAGCTATTTTGTAAAGAAGAACAGGCAAGATTTCTAAATTTCAATGTCAAACTCAACTCTGTGTTGGTCTATGACATAAAATCTGATTAAAACACCTTGTAGTTTGTGGACATAACAGGACAAAATGTAGAAAAGTTCGACAAGTACAAATACTTTTTCAAGGTAATGAGAGTCAGTAATGGGTGAAACATGCAGGTAGGAATCAGATAATTCCTAAAAGTTTGTTTATTTTAGGTGGCAAGGGTTTTATTTCCTGAACTCCACCTCAATTGTGGGAAAACCGATAGCCATGGCTCCTAGAGGCTGAACCGAAAGCGTTTAGGTTGACCCGCTGGTAGATCAGAGTGCTGGTGTTTGTCAGATGTACCTGCTGATGTTCCTTTTTCCAATGTAGCCGAACTGAAACAAACTGATCCTGCAAGGAGAAAAAGAAAACAAACGGTCACATTTTACATTCAGGACAGGAGTCTGGTTGCCCAACAGCTGATGTTAATCAAAATCTGCTTTCAGGGAGGTGTCTAAAATGTGCTTCTTAAAACCATAAAGTGGTCCATGAATTAATCATTCTGATTAGTTAAATTGCTAAAATACCACTAAAAAACATAACGAAAGGGTTTACCTCTGTTTCTTTCAGTAAACCTACCATTGAGCCGGTTTTATGAACACAAAGCACAAAGTTGCTTTTAATTCTGAATTAACTTACTTTGAGTTTTCACTAAGCTAGGGTTGCACAACTATGGAGCTAAATTGGGGTCGTAAGTTTTGTTCAAAATAAAAAAAATTTGAAACTGAAAAACAATTTTGAAACTGAAAAAAAAAAAAATTTAAAACTGAAAAACAATGTATTCGAATCTGGAAAAGTTTTAAACATCTTGTCTTTTCAGTTTCAACTATTTTTTTTTTCAGTTTCAAACCTTATTTTCAGTTTCAGACTGATGACCATGATTTAGCGTGGGGGGCGGGGCCTCAGATGACAGGCGGTGTAGAATCATGATTGACAGCTCGGGCTGGACAAGCTGTTGCATTCAGGAACCACCAGCTATGAGTGGAATGTTGTCAGTCTAATAAATGTCTGTTATTAGAGGTTATCACTTCCAAACTGTCTGCAGACTGTCCTCCCTTTACCTCCTAGTAGGTTGGAAGGCACTTATCAATCATTTGTATGCCTGATAATATGCAATCAGCTAATATGCATTCAGGCTTAGTGGGTTTGGCTTCTCACCTGTGACATGCCTATCCTTCAAGTACAAAAAATCAAAGAAAACATCTTTATACTTAGAAAATTGGCATAGTACAGATTATTTTACCCATTTTGTCACATAATTGGCATATTTTCTTTTGAATTTGGCTCAGCCAAAGTGAAACAGGAAGTGACATCAAAGAGGAACTCAATAATCAAATAGACTTTGGTTTTTATTTATTAAAACAAAAATTATTTAAACTTTATATCTTTTTCATCTCTCATTGATAGAGACTCAAAATAATGTAAAGAAACAGATTCTTCTCTACAGTCTGTGTTGTTAGCTGATGTGACAACGCTCTGTTCACATGCAGACATTCCTCTTTGACATCACTTCCTGCTTCTTCACATGCAAATGTCAACAACTGTCCATCTCAGAGGCATGAAATTTGTTTTACAATATATATTATAATTGTTATCTTTCCAAAAATGCATTCATGTTTATTACAAAAATTTGATGTCACAGGCCCTTTAAACACTGTTATCACACATCGCAGGTATTTCTAATATCGTGCAGCTCTAAATTAAACCCATTTTCTGAAAAGGTAAAGAATTKATTCTGTTTTCACACACTACTCACTCCAGCAGGCTGAGGAAATTCATGACATCCTGAGGGCTGATTTTACTCCAGTAGGCCGTCAGAGTGTCTGCAGACAAACAGAAGCATTCGCTCAGTGCTGTCTCTCTTTATTTAAAAAAAAGGAAGAAGAAAAAGTTTTGTGTTTGGGCTCGGCTCTGTTTGGTTACCGACCCTCTGACAGCGTCTTGACGATGTGCAAGAAGGAGAACAGGAGGCCTTTAATCTCGTACTGTCCCAGTCTGCTGACAGGAGGCATGGGGCTGCAGCTCATGGTGGAGCCACGCCGCTGCAGCTGCAAACAAACAAACACCATAGTTGTAGGTTTAGCATTCCTCCAAGGAACAAACAATTGAACTGAATTGCATTGAACCATCTTATGATTGGAAAAGATGATGTGTACCCACTATACACAGCTGTGCATTCATCTGTCTGTTTACTAAATAAACACATAAGTGCAGGGGTCTGTGTTTGCACGCTTGCTGCATGAACACAATGGGCCTCATGCAAGAACATGTTCATATTTTTATCCTAAATTTCTCTTACTTTTGTTCGTACAAAGGGTTCGTACGAACATGTCACGTCAGATTCAACAAACWCTTCTATCTTCAGGAAAHGTGYGTAAATGAGCTGCGTAAATTWCMMCYKKTYSTATCCAGCTGCTCGTGCACGCGAGAGGAGATTAGCATAATTACCACCCCAAAAACACCATATAAGGCTATGATTCCTGCCTCAGATATCAGGAAGTGTCCATTCATGAAAATGGCAGCGAAAACTTAAAAGAAAAACTTTACGAGTTCAGAGATTGAAGTCCGTCTGTCAGAGATCCAGAAAAGAAAATCTGTCATTTTTAGCAGCTCAGCTGTGGGATAAAAAGAGCTGCTAAAAGTATAAACAACTGTGTTAAATCATTTTCATTTATTCAGAAGCGCAGCGCTGCGCACCGTAACCCCGCAGAAATCCCCAAAGTATTTGGTGCTGATCCAAACTAAAACAGCTTTGACAAATTTGGATGTGTGAAGAGTTACTTGGTCAAACTACCAAAAGATATTACGCTACATCTTGTGACTAACTGAACATGTCTTGGAGCCGTTTATACTTGATTTCCAACAAGACACAAATATCCCTGCTAGAAGACTAGAAGACAAAAGTCCTAGAAGCTATAAAACAAACATAAAAAAGGAAAGACAAAGGTTTGCAGTTACACTTGAAGACATCTCTTCAAACAACTGGTGAAATTATTACACATGGAAAGGATCACAAAAATGACAAGAAAAACCCTTCATTAAAGGAGCACCAGTGAACATGTGCAAAGAGTTCATCTTCATCAGCTGTCATCATGCAATCAGAGTCAACAGAAACGCTTTGGAAGAAAAACTATAGAAATTCCAATCATCAATTTTATTTATTTATTTATTCACCGTTCTTTAACAAGGCAAGTCCCGTTGAGATCTCAGATCTCTTTTTCAAGGGAGGCCTGGGCCTGAAGGCAACCTATTCTACACGTTTTTGTGGGGTGGGGGAAACTGGAGTACCAGGAGAAAACCCACGCAAGCATGAGGAGAACATGCACACTCCACACAGAAAGACCCCAGGTCCAAACCGGGGATCGAACCCAGGACCTTCTTGCTGTGGGGGGTCGGTGCTAATCACTGAGCCATCGTGCTGCCARTGAACCGGATCGATGTTGTGCAAAATTTTGGTGCAACCCACAATGGCTTTACATACTGTATTCCAACACTTTTTAACTTTTTTTATACCAATAACAAGTTGCCATGGTTGTCCTAAAAGAGCTGTGAAAGAGCTGGAGGAAGAGCTGGAATATTCTGCTTTTTGTGTTTTTAAACCTCAGTTTAACATTTTTTAATAAGCTTCTGACTCGCTGCCTGCATCCTTGTTTCATGTGGTTGGACAGGTTTTATATATTATATTATGAACTGATGGTGGTCAGAAGGTCCATTGATGTTGCTGTATGGCAGCCCCACCTCTGTCAGTGTGCMCCAGGGCAGCTGAGGCTACAATGTAGCTTACTGCCATCAATGTATGAATGGGTGAATGACCGTAGTGTGAAGGGCTTTGGGGTCAGATGGCACTTGATAAGGTGCTATATAAGTTCAGTCCATTTACCATTTATTCAACTCTCTCACTGTGATCCAATTTTATGTATTTTATTGATTTATGACCCAGGTTCTTAAATGTCAACACAGCTTTATATGGCATAATCATGAWTTGAATTGTCTAGTCTCAATCGCAGTAGACAAAGAAAAGCTGCTCAAGAAGCAGTTCTTTGTTTTTGGTGATATTATCAGGATCCTTGTTCTTCAAACTGAGATGCTGTTTAAACAAAGAAGTTGAGGTCAATTTTATTTAAGCAGCTTTGCATCAAAGACACACAATGGACACAGCTGAATATAAAAAAAGAACTACGATTTGTTAATATTATGTTATCTGGTGTTGGGGAACACTGCTTTAGGRGTACCAGTCCACACTTTATTCTAAAATGAAAATAGTCCTATTCTGTTGTTTTTGGACTCTAAGACTACAGACGTTTGTGTTTGCTTGGCTAAAAACACCTAACATCAACAGTATCCACATAGTTGTGTTTAAAAAAAACAGTGTTTTTTAATGTTAGGTAAATTGGTAACTCTAAATTGTCTCTAGGTGTGAATGAATGGTTGTCTCATTTGTCTCCATGTGATGGACTGGAGACCCGTCCAGAGTGTTCCCTGCTCGGATTGGTACCAGCTAACATGATCCAGAGAGGAAAAGTGGGTAAAAGAAAACAGATCAATTGTACAATCATAGGTTTTGGAAGAGACACAGATGTTTTGGTTGATAGTTTTTTTTTAATGTTTCTATGATTGACTTTTTCCTTGTTCTGCTGATCCCTTTCAGGGTTACCACAGCGAGTGAACTCCCATGAATGATGAGTCCAGTTGTTTTATGCCAGATGCCCTTCTGACCTGAGTTCAGACCTATTGCCTTTGGGATTATGAGATTACAGCACTGACCCCCAGGCTGCAGCCTCATGTTTCCACAATTTATTGAAACACAATTAACAAATAACTCTCTATTTTTATTAGCAAAACCATTTATTTTGAATAAGATTTGTTAATTACATGATTGATCATTTTCTTCATAACTTTTTTCATTTCCTACTGGATTTTTTCAACAGTTAATATTTGAAGCAAGCTCACAAGTCCAAAATTTTTGCCTTTCAAATTTTGAGCCACTTTCTGAAATAATTTTACTCTGTGACTTGTGCTCTATCTTGCAAAGCCCATCAACAAGTTGTTTCAGACTGTTAAAGTACAGTAGCTGCTCTTTAGAGGACCATCAGATCCTGGTCTTTATTGACAGTGTTCCTAGGCAGAACTGTAAGAAAGCCCACTCTATCAAGTGAAAAGCTACCCTACCGCCACTAAACGCCTCAAACATTTTCTGGAGGATTCATCACAAAAACACCAACCTGCTGCTGATGTTGAGCTTGCTTTGGTGGAAACAGTCCAGGGGCCTCATGTATCAATGGTGCATATGCCCGTTCTTTATCACGCAAAACTTCAGATGTATGAAGGCTGAAATGAATGTGGAAATGTTCATAGTCCCACGCCAACTCAATGGCTGGCGTACGCTCATTTCTGTAGTTATGGTTTCATTGGCGATGCTTAAGGGTGATTTTGGGTAACATTTAATGATATGAAAACTCTTCGTACACACCAGACACTCATGATTAACACTTAATATAGTCACCTGAATGCAGTTAGATGAGTGGATAGAAAAGCATGCGCAAACTGGTGCCAAAAAACCTTCAGCAACAACTGTTTTARCCTTATCAGAGGATGTAATAAATGGTGCAATTCACAGAGCGTGTAGTGTGTATCAGCCATTTTCAGCTTCAAGATTAACCCTTTTAGCAACTGTGCTTGGAGCTGCATCGACACAGCGATGAGGAGCCGTGGGCTGCGTGAGCGCCACCCTTGCTGCTGACAATGGGGTTCTAAAGGGACAAAGGTAGGCAGACCGAGTGGGACTGTGCCAGTCCACCCTGAGCCGAGCCAAGCCAGCTGAATGGGACGGCCTTATTCAGATTCCAAAATATATATATATCACCACCAATGTGGATAAAACTGTTCATTGAGGCGCTGCGACTTGTTTCTTCTTATCGGCTGTTTAAAAAATAAAAATCTAGGTTTTAATGTGGATACCCTTAAAGGAAAGATGAAAGTCTGGACTTAATGCCCATTTTTATTATATAACTATAACTTGAATATGTTTCAGTAAACGGGTTAAAAAACTAATTTTGTGCCAGTTTTMAAATAGATATATACCTAACAGTATTTCTTGAAAAACTATCATCAAAACAGGGAACATGCTGACTTCAAGCACCTCTGTCCTTCCTTTATAGCAATCAATATGTAGATTGTTAGAGGAATTTCAGCTCCTTCACAGCTTCACCTGTGCTTATAAAATGATTGACGGCTGATCATTTTGTGCCAAATTGAAATATGGAGGAAACAGGGCTTTGTTATAAAGTTAACTTTTTAAACTAATAAAGCTCTTTGTAGTGAATCATTTTGCATCTTGGCCTAAAAACAATGAACCATCACATCAAAATGTGAAGTCAAAGTTTTCAAAAAAAAAAAAAAAAAAAAAAACAACAACAACAATTGGATCACTGTGGGTCGCAGCAGCCTGGTGGTTAATGTTACGGTTTTGTAAATGCAGGTTGCATAAGAAAAAGTATCCGGGCATAAAAAATTTCCAAATCTTTCCTACAAGTTCCCACGCTGTGGCAACCTCTGTACGAGGAAGCATTTGAAAGAAAAACATTCGCATCACTGCAGTAACTTTTGACCTTATGGTGTACATTATGTACCTCACTGACGCAAATTAAATATTTACACATGACCAACATTAAAGTTTGTGACTTAAACTCTTTTACCAGAGGTGTAAAGTAACTAAGTACAAATACTTTGTAATTGTACTTAGTACTTGTACTTGGTTATACTTGAGTAATTTTTTAGCCGACTTGCTACGTTTACGTACTCCATATATTTTCATGCGATTGTATTTTTCTTACATTTTAAAAACTTAACATGGTAGAAAAAATCATTTGGCCAGCCACAATCAAGATAAACAGCCTAACTTGACTGTGATTATCCAAATGACTCACCTTCCACCAAAGATCCTTCTAGTGTGAGGACAATCACATTGTGGTTTTGAACAAAGACAATAAAGTCTTCAGACAAGTTCAGACCTTCTGCAGATCCTTTCAAAAATGTCTGAAAGGGTTAG